GCCACTTAGGAGGGGGCTCCAACATTCATTTTTATTATAGTTTTCCGCCTTTTGAATACACCTTATGTTTTAGTTTTAGTGTTGCCTTAAGGTTTTGAGTATAGTCACTAGGCATCGGCTTCAACTTGACGGCTGTGAGTTTGTCTGTTTTGGGAAGCACAGAAGGAGCGCCTGAGTGTACGGCCAAGGCCACACAGGTAGTAAGTAGTATAATCAGGCTTTGAAACCAGGCCACCAACCCCTGCTTACCCTTAACCACTCTAACAACCATGCAGCATGCAATTAAAGTTGGCGGCCTCCAACAGGCTGAACTTTGACATTTAGCACTCGACCACAATGGGTGGTGGTGGCGGCATAGGTGTGGTTGGTTTTTTAAAATTAGGGCACTATATATAGCTTTTAAAATATAATGCAAATGTTTGAGGCGGCCTTGAATCACCACCAGATACTAGGGTTCCTCAGATCTCAGTTTGAAAATCTCTGATGAGTGGATTGTTGGGCAGTTCTAATTGTTAGAAAACCCGTTCCTGTAACATAGCTGCTTTTCTTAGAACCAGCTCCTACGTCTCGCTCTTCTACCACCCTAGTGATTTTCAAAATCTAGGCCACCGCCTCTAAACCAGTGGTTCTCAGCTTTCCTAATGCCGTGACCCTTTAATAATTATTTCGTTGCTACTTCACAATTGTAATTTTGCTACTGTTATGAATCGGGCGATCGCTTTGAAAAGGTCCTTCAACCCCTAAAAGGGTGGTGACCCACAGGTTGAGAACTGCTGCTGTAAACTCTTAAGAAGTTTTGTTTCAATTTTGTGTGTGTGTAAAAACAAAAACCAAACTCACTGCCACCGAGTTGATTCCAACTCATAGCAGGGACTCGCCTTGGGTTTCCTAGGCTGTAAATTTTTACAGAAACGGATGACAGCCTCACCTTTCTCCTGAGGAGCAGCTAGTGGGTTTGAACTGCCGATCTTTCCATTCCCAGACCAATGCGTACCTGACAGCACCAACAGAATTCTTGTGTGTGTGCATGACAATATAAAATGTATTTCTTACCATGGGTCACGGTCAAAAAGTTTTAGAAGTCCCTGTTCTATGGCAGTAGGAGTGACTTCAAAGATATCACGGAAAAGTGGAATTGAAAGATAATGTAAAGTTTCCACAAACGTTTTCAAGCCCTCTTGTAATCTGAAATACCTCCTTGTAGTATCGTAGTCTAGAGGTTAGGGGGCCATGATGGCATAGTGGGTACTTGTTGGGCTGCTAACTGCAAGGTCAGCGGTTTGACACCACTAGCTGCTCTGAGGGATAAAGACAGGGCTTTCTCTTCTCACAGACTGACAGTCCTGAAAACCTACAGGGACAGTTCTGCCTTGTCCTATACGGTGGCTATGAGCTGGCATCAACTTGATAGCATTGAGTTTGTTTGGGTAGGGGGGTGAAGGTTCCTCTCGCTCACTATATTGGGTAGCACCCTCAGATCCTGTAACCGCTATTAACTGAGTGTCAACTCAAACTTTCTCAGGGATGACTACCTTCTCTTCAGAACCACCACCCATCTCTCTCTCCCCTTCAGGCTGTCGTGATCTGCCCTGTTTTTTCCAAAGTACTTTTCACTCTCCAACATGATATTTTCCAGTGCATAGTGGTGGCTCGTCCAATATTTGTGGAACAATTGAAGCTGTCAGAGATTTCATTTTACTTGGATCTACAACCAACTCCCATGGAAGCAGCTGTCAGGAAATCAAATGGCATACTCTATGGAGCCGGTCGAATGTGAACATGTCACTCCGAAGATTAAGGGGCGTCTGACTCAAGCCACGTACGTTCAATAATCGCATATGCATGTGACAGTGGGGCGGATTGATGCCTTGGAATCATTGGTCAAATCTATGTCCGAAGAAATAAAGCCGGAATGCTTCTTAGAAGCAAGGATACAACACCTGACCTCACACAGTGTGGACACGTCATCGGGAGGAACCAGTCTCCTGAAGAACATTAGCCTGAGTAGAGGGTCACACAGGGGCTTCAGCAATGGGCTCCGACATAGGAATGACTGTGGATGGCCGGGACCTGGCTGTGAGTCCTTCTGCTGTTCATACAGGGTCGCCATGAGTTGGAACCAACCCCATGGCTCCTAACAACAGCAGCAGTAACGCAGTATGATCACGTTTTATATATTTACAGTTACATGTTGTATAGGGCCTATCAATTGATGTAACCATGTGCGTAGTTTAATGGCATTTGTATGAACCATTCTGACCATATGCATTTTTTTTGCCATTTAGCAATAATGCTATCATACCTCTTGAGAGCATTTCCGTGTTGTAAACCACTCTCAGATAAAGTACCAATTTGATACTTTTCATAGGCTAAGAAAGTGTGTCAGAACTGGAGAGAAGGTGGTGGCCAGCGGTCGGTTTTAATCTTACCCTTTTATTTACCGAGGCCCAGAGCAGGGCAGGCACGAGACACCCAATGGCCCCAGAGTGAACCTGGAATTTTAAGTCCACCCACTGCCAGCCCCTGTACTCCCCCAAATGTCTGTCCACTCCCAGCGGCGCCAGATACCACGGCCCTCCTGCCCTCCTCACAGCAGCTATGCGAAGCTACTGTGCTGGTGGGACACTGGGGAAGGGGCACTCCCACACCTCCCCCGGCGGCTCCATCAGCCCTGGGGAACCACTTAAACTCCATGCCGGAATTCCACCCCCATCCAGGAGCCTCACCTGACTCCCCATCCCCAGCAGGCTCTTAAGGTGACCGGCCTTGCTCCTCCCCACAATTTCGGCTCTCCTTCGCGAACGCCCTTCAACCTCGTAGGGTCCCGGGGTTGAATAAAACTGGCCCAGCCCAACCTCTTCGTCGTTATGGTAGCCAGGGCCCTAACATTCTGAAGTCCGCCCTCGTTCACGGCCTGGGTACCGCCGGCCAATGGCATCCCTTGTTTTGTTAGCATGAGAAGCTGCTGGCCAGTCGTTAGAGGCATTGCAAAACTGGCAGAGAAACCACCGGAATGGTCGGGCTCAGGTAAGTTTCCCACGTAAGGATCTGTGGGCGGGCAACCCTCAAAAACCTTATAATAGACTAAAAGCCTTGGAACGTTGCTCACTCTGCAAGCCCCTTGAAAGGGTTAAAACGAAGGGAACATTCCTCCAAGCAGCTGTTTGTCGTAGCAAAGAGGGCAGGGGGCGGGGGGATAGATGTAATGACTCCAGGGCAGCTATACAGCCCTATTCCACGTGTTTCAGGGCAAGCACTGTGATCTCGTCACTCCCTTGCTTGAAACGCTCCCGTGTGGGGCCCAAAGGTCTTATTATCAGCGCCCGCTGGGCACTCCGTCCCATCGCAGCCCCTACACCGCACCCCCGCCCACCACAGCCACAGTCCCTAAACTCAGCCGGCCTCAGGATCTGGTCTCTGCCCAAACGTCACTTCTTCATCTCTGAAACGGAGGCGGGCTTAGCAATAATGCCCCTCTTGTGAGACTGGAGTGAGACTCGATGCACGTTAAGTGATGAAAAACTTTTGGTCACCGGCAAAGCGCCTGACACAAGCTCGGGATTACAATGACACGTGCAGGAAATGAAAAATCAAGTGCCAGACTCAGTGTAAGGCTTTAAGTATTGCTTGGCCAGGGGCATGCGGGAAGGCCAACCGGTTCTCTGGGAGGGCAGCTGGGGAATTCTCTAGAAGGCTGGGGGTAGGGGGGCGGTAATAGACCTGGAGGGATAGTAAGGACTGAATACATAATGAGAGCGGGGGTGGGGGTGTCAGCGAGCTAGCCCCGAGGTGGGGTGGGGCGGGTTAGAGGGAAGGAAGGAGGACACCTGGCTGGCTGCTAAAGCCAAGCTCACCTGCCGGACAGCCTGAGCTCTCTGGGACCTGCGGTGGGGGTGGGGGCGTTGTTCCGACGCTCCGGGTCCGGCCGCTAGAGGGGACCGCCGCAGGTGAGCGCGAAAGCGCCCGTCGGGCTCCGCCTCTCCAGGTCTCTCCGCTGCTCTTCAAGCAACCTTGGTAGCGCAGCCAACGCCGCGTGCTGTCCCACCCACTTCCCCCTCGCAGCCACTCCCCTGCGCGGAGTCCCTGCCAGCTTCTAATGGGCAGGCGGTCTGACCAATCGGCGCTCGGCCTTGGAAGGCCGGCCCCGCGGCGCCTGGGCAGTCCCGAGTTGAGGAAGGAATTGAGGAGGCCGCGCCTCCGGGTTGCACTGAGGAATCCTACTCCTTTCTCCGAAACCTCTGACAGGTGGACCTTAGAAAGGACGCTACCGGTGAGTTAGTGATAAGACTGGGGAGAGGGACGTGAATTCAGCTTTTTTTGTGTGGCTTTTTTTAAAAGAGCCGCTCATGCATGTGTAATCATGGGAGGGCTTCTCGGATAAACACCCGTTTCTTCTTGCTTGCTGTCACTAACCTTGTCAGTCTAGGTCCCCTTGCCTCCAAACTCCGACATCGAGGTGACAGGAGAGGAGGCATGGCTATGCCTTGATCATGGTGGTGCCAGGCTTTCCCGACTCTGGGAATGAAATCGAATAACTTTGCCAAAATCCCTCGTCTGCCCGTGGGGCTGGGGCTTCCTGGCCATAGCAGATGGTGGAGTTAGCAGGTGGGGTGAGGGACGCGATCCGGCCCACCCTGGCTGCCGCCGGGGGCGGGAAGAAGGTAGCCCTTAGCAAAGCAAAACCTTCGGCGTGGCCCCGACGCTCCTCAGCCAGAAGCTGAAGGGTGGGGAAGGGCGTGTTTCTGTTGTTTTGTTTTCAGAGAAGCCCACAGTCTAATACAGACCCTACTTTAAGCAGCCACAGGCCCTCAGAGAGGTTGCTTGACGCCTTGGAACCATGATGCTGTCCACCCCGCTCTAAGGGATTGGTGAAGTCAATCTAGGAGATAAAAGGGGGAGGGGGCGGAAGCAGGTGCCTAATGGATGAAAATCAATGGCCATGTGCCTCCAACTGGAGTGGCTGGCCACAGAGAGCTGGCTGCTTGCCAGTTTGGGCAGTTGTCAGACATGGAAGAGAGCTTTGAAATCAAGAGCCGTGTGCCTTATAAGGAGTGCCACTTGCAGAGCTCCTCGGTGGCAGTCCCCAGCTGAGGGACAGCTGGCTTTGCAGAGAATGCTTCAGAGCACCCCCCAACCCCCCCACCAGGCGTTTCTGAAGCAGAGAGGGAGGCTGCTTCTTGAACGCACTGGAACAACAACAACCCAAAGCCCTACCACAAAATACCACCTGGACAAACCAGCCGTACTGAATTCAGGCAGGATTCCCACTCCAGCCGGCCAGCTCCCAGGGCCTGTTTGCTTTCACTGGCATGTGGGTGGGGCTGGCCATATCTGTTTGTTGTAGAAGCTCAGGCCACCGTGGTTCATTAGGCCTGACTGAAGCATTCTTTGCTGTGAAGGGGCCACAGTGCCTACAAGGCCTGCATTTTGCCAGTGGCTGAGCTCCATCTGTGAGCCTATGGCCATGTTTGGTTTTTTGGTTTGGGGGCTAGATCTCTCGAGGGAGCAACTGCACAGCAAACACCTTCCCTGGGTGGCCCGCTAAGAGGTAGAGGGAGCCCTGGGCCACTTCCCTTTACAAGGTTTTCGTTATAATGCTCACACAAGGACACAGGGCTGTGACACAAAAATGCTTTTCACACACACACACAGGCAGAGTGAAGAATAGTTGTGTTTTTCATAAGGGAGTAAACAAATATTCAGAAGGGTTTTACAGGCAAGGAGGTCTGGTAATTTTACGAGCCAAGACTTAGAGAAGTTGCCTGGTGATTGTGTCTTGAGGACTGAGCGTATCACCAGATCTGGAAGCGATGCTGGCACTTACACTTAAGGACCCTTGAGAGAGTGAGACTAGGGCCCAGTGGGGTCATGCTTGCCCCCAGCCCTGTTAGCCCACCTGACAGAACTGTGCTGTTCACACCCAGGGCCCAGAGCGCCTGTACTGCAGAGGCACCTGCAAGCTACAAGACAGACAAGAGGCAGCTTTCTGACGTAGCCGCCCTCAATAAATAATTACTGGATGAATGCACGAGAGAAAGGGGGTTTTGTGGGTAGATTTAAATAATTAAAATAGTAAGGATAAAATCAATGCAAGTAATACCTGGCACTCATTGATAACTCGAGGTAGACACTACACTGAGTTTAGGTTTTACATGCCTTATTTTCATCAAATTCTCACAGTAGCCCTATGGGATAGGAATATTAGTGTCCATGTTTTATAGCTGAGGAAGCTGGTTGAGAGTTCAAATGGCTTGAAGACGGTAAAATAAGTAGCAAAGGACAGATCAAAAGCAATTTACAACATTCTTCTATTCAAATAAATCTAGATTATGCCGTGAAATTCAAATCTGTTTGCACATAAACTAGGAACACAGTGGACTCCGATCCCTACTTGGAATGAATTCAGACCTCACTGTCCCATCTCTCTCTCTCTCTCTCTCTCTCTCTCTCTCTCACTCACTCACTCACTCACTCACTCTAGCCATCTGAGCTGGGTTGGAGTTCACCAGCTGAAAGAACAGTGTTCTTTACACCAGTGTCCAGGTATCATTTCTCTGGAGCCATCTGGAGCTAGGTCAGAGCACACACACGGAAAGGTCACAAGCTTGGGGAGTCCACCCAACACCCCAGCCTCTTTATCTGTTGGCTTCTCCTGCTTCCTTCGGGTTTGATAAATTGCTCGGATGACTCATAGATTATAAACAAGTATGGCAGTGGTTTTTTTACCTTGCCACTACTAATTTATGATAGTAAAAAAAAGGATACAACGAGGAGACCCCTAGGGAGAAGTCTGTGTGCACAGGGAAGGATCCTGGTTTAGAGCTCCATGTCCACAGGGATGCTCAGGGAACGTCCATGCTCAGGGGCCTCTTACGGAACTCACCGCATGCCCCTGCTTGACTGACTCATCCCCTCTTTCTTCCCTAGGTTGGGAGACTGGCCCTTCTCCCCCACCCCCCTCATTTGCACAAATTCTCAAATGTTGTCTGGCAGTTTTAAACAACAAAGGCACCTTGGTTACCCAGGAATGTCAAGGCTTACCTTTCTAGAACCAAAGACAACAGGCCAATTTATTTTAGGCAAAGCAATTCGTCACCACACAGTATGATTCTTAAAAATCAACCCCAAAAAGCCCTTAAGAAACCCTTAGCACTTGTGGTAGAGTGTTGTGGCTTTGCCTTACAGAACACAGGGAGCGATTTGGTGGAAATGTTTGGGAAGCACTCACAGTCACGGTCCAATGCAGTCGGAAGGAATGATGACGGTTAATTTTACTTGAGCCTCCATTGTTGCCCCACTTGACAGGCAAGGCAACTGAGTCTCTGAGAGGGGAAATGACCAGTCACACAGAGCTTCTACCTTGAAACCCAGTGCCACCTCACCTACGCCAACTGACCTTTGGCCCTCGGCTACTTCTTCCATCTTCCAAGAAGATCACTTTTCTCCTCATTGATTCTTGCTTGTGACCCTAGCCACCCACCAGATGGGTGGGACCAAAATGGCTCTATTTCTGTGGCCCTGGGATTTCTTTTGGGAGGCCTCAGCAGTCGCCCTCGGAGTATCTCCTTACCCTCGGGAGGAGCCTGGTGGAGAAAGCAGGATTGGAATGAGGCTATCATGAGCGTCAGGGAGCAGTCAGAGAGGAAAGGAGTTTTTGAAAAACCAGGGAGAAACCTTTGGGGTTGACGAGTCATGTCTTTATGATGGGACCGAAATGGTCGAATGATGGAACGTGTTCAGTGGCCGTGCTCATCCTGCTGTGTCCTGATGGTATTCTCGAGGAACAAACTGGGCCCCATGTTTCACCCTCCATGCATTTTTCATGTTCCTCCTGTGCCCTAGAGCTCCGCCAGGATTGGAAAACTCGCCCTCGGCTGACTGCTTACAGAGGCATCGAAAGCAGCTTCCTGCTCTGAGG